GCAAATGTAAAAACCCCAGGATTTTAACCTCCTCTAATCAGGTTTCTACAAAATTACAGGATTGGATTTTAGTGAGTAATGAAAATAATTAGAGGAAAAAAACTACACACACATATATATTGGTTTTTTAAAACACCAGTGACTTGACAGCTCTTTCTTTTTTTGAGAGAGAGTCGCAGGAGATACTAAGCTATCAAAGGGATGGAAAACTATTTTGATTTATTTATAGGAACGTATTTGAGCTACTATAGCATCTTGGGGAAGGTGGCTATTCATCATCTGTTGGCTATAACTATTGATACAATTCTCTACCTTATTTGTAGGTACTACATTGGCCGTCGTACATACATGGTGGTGTCTGAGCCAGAGATGATCAAACATATCTTAGTGAAGGACTTCAGTAACTTCACCAACAGAATTGTAAGTTGGTAGAAAGACTCTTTTGTATACTGTCATTTCAGCACCCAAGAGCCCTCATCCTGCAGGTCCAAGACAGGCCAAATCTTATGCTGATTTTAGAGTCTGCATTTTTTTTCAAATCAGGCTGAAGGAAATAGAGGAAGGATAGACTTAGAAGGAAGGGTGCATGAACTGCCGAGTAAAAACTGAAGGAACATAAACTGACAATATTCTCTTCCTCTAGCCCTTAGGATTTCAAGGGCCAAAGAGGAAGTATTAAAAATTGAAATGGTAATCTTGAGGCTAAGGCACTGGATTGACTCTCAGGAGAGCTGGGTTTAGTCTCCAGCTCTGCCAATGTGATGATGAGCGAGTCACTTAATTCCTCTGCACCTTAGTTCTCTTTCCTCTGGCCCTTTGTCTGTCTTTGTCCATTCAGATTTTAAGTTCCTTGGGACAAAGGTAGTAGTCCCTTACTATGCATATGTATCATGTGTAGCACAGTGGTGCCCGGTTCATAGTTGAGCATTATTGTATGATAAAATAAAAAGAATTGGTATCTGTGTTAAGAAATGCAAGTGATTTCTATACAATTTAGTGCTCTAGACCTTTAAAAATATTAGAAATGCTCTTTTTGAAGGATTGTTTTGAACAAATAAAAAGAAGGAAGCCACAAAGGCACAGTAGGGCTTTCCCATATTCATTTAACATTTTACAAGAAAATGTCTGTGTTCATTTTTTGGCTTAAGCTGTTCTTTTCTTTTTCCTTTCCAGTTTGCATGTTCTTCTTTCTTTAGAAGTCTTCATAAATATCTGCAATACCCTCTTAAAGTTTAGGAGGTTCAGAATTCTTTAGCCAATGTACCATTTTTACTGTAAGATGTTGGATCTTGCTATTGTCTCTCTGTTTAATATGTATATTGTTCTTATCACCACAGTGCTTGAGCATTTCTTGAGTATTTATGGGTTTATTCCCACAGTAGTGCTGTGAGATAAGGATGTACTATTAATCAGGTACAGATCAAGTGGTTCGCTCAAAATTGCCCAGGAAACCTGTGGCAGAGGACAGAATTGAATGCAGATCTTCTAGAACCTTTGCACATGCCACATTTTTTGCCCTTTCTTGAGCAGGTTTTCTGGATGCTTTAAAAATCTTTTTGGTGCATTAAAGTAAAACTCCTTAGAAGTAGTTTTGTTTGGCTCACCACGAATTAAAGGTTTGCACCCATGGATTTGTTGCTTGCAAATACAAAGACATTCAAGGACGTGTAAAGAACCTCTTTGTCTATCAGATGACACTGCGACTTTTTGTGGTTCACCCCTTTGTATTGTTTCTGCTTTCAAATTGCTTCCACTTTTTTTTTTCTTGTGGCATGTGCCAGCTCTGTACTTCCACAGCTGCATGGTACAGCATGGATTGGGGGGCTCCGGCTCGGGGTGGGGCAGCACTGGACCATCCTGCTCTCTTGCGGCACCAGCCAGAAGCTGGCCTTAATTCATTCGAAAACCAAGTGTGTGCAAGCACTGTTGTGACACTCCCAAACTTAATTAGTTTGAAAACCTAGTGTGTACAAACAATGATGCAACACTCCAAAATAAACTAGTTTAAATTTTATAAACCTATTTAATTTAATGAGGATTAAATTAATATGGTGTGTACAGGTGCCCTTAATTTCCAGCTCTGTTCCTTAATGACAAGTCATCTTCCATCTGTCTTTTCTCAATATCACTGGCTTAAGAGATGCCCATAAATCACATTCAAAATAATTAATATGAACATGCTCTGTTTTACTTCAGCTTTTATCCACCTGTTCTCCTGCTTTCTCACTTACCTCTAGTCTTCAAAGCTTTTATTTCCCACCTTTTACTTTGTTTGCTTTCCATTGTTGGGGATGTTCAGCTTTCTATTTACACATATATCCACATCTGTCTGGAATCTATACTGTTTTCCTGTCAGCCATTTATTTTCCCATAAGTTCACCTTGGAAGCTTCTTTCTCTTGTTAGCTGGCAATTGGTACTCTTAATTTAAGTGTTTGGTGATGTGTGGTATAAAGGATTTTATAAAAAAAAAAAAATATATATATATATATAAGAGAAGCCATTTGAGTTTACTCAATACAATTTTGTGTATGTGAATAATGGTTGCGAGGTGAAGGTGAGAAAAGCACATTCTAGGTAACAGAAGCCTTCCTTATATTGATGTAAATGTTATAAAGCTTTTAGGAGAGAGTGCTTCTGTTTGTTTATATATTTTTAAAATTACTCCAAGCAAGTCTCTTCTCTATTTTCATTAAGAGTTTATTTGCTAATGGAGAATTTGAAATACAAAAAAAAGTTTTCTCTCCCCCTTCCCTTCCCCCCATGTTATGCTGAGAGACTAGAACCCTGGTTTTGAATAAGTGGATACAAAGTTTTGTTAATGTAGTAAAATTCTCATTTGGAATGCCCCTACTCTTCTTTGAGTTGACTGTCAGTTTTGCAGATGATTTTTCTGATGCACTTGAACAGGGAATAGGACAAAACCATCAAGCTTGCTTGCTTGCTTATTCTTTAAAACAAAACCAGGATTTCAACCTAGTCTACCCGGGCAAAATGTCAGTACATTAACCCTACATGCCACAACAGTACATTATTCATCACATATTCCAGCACTGGTAGTAATGATATGTTAAAAAAAAAGTCTGTAAGCTGCATGATGTATGGCACTAATTCCAAAGGCAAAGTGCATTTGTGGGGGGGAGTTTACATTCCATATGTGCTTTGGTGCCTTTACGATTAATAATAAAAATATATATTTCTGAGAGGTAGTGGGAAATTGTATTTTCAGAGGGCTGCACCAATAAACACAGCTGATAGACAAGGAGTGATAAGATGATAATTCAGTAAACTCAGAACTTTTATTAAAACTGTCTATAGTGTGGTATCATGTTGTTGAGTGTTCCTAAAAAGAATTACCTTAATTTGTAAATGTATACTGGCTAGTTACTTCTTGGAAGGTATTTAGAAGGTCTTTGTAGAATCACTCCAGTTTTAATCAGATGAAAGGACTCTCAGAATTGCCCTGATTAATACCTAGACAAGCGATTCAATGGAGAGGTAAGGGAGTCATCAAGATATTACATGAAATTGTACACATGAACTTGGTATTTACTAAGCTGCATTTCTTGTTGATACAATATGAAACATCCTTTTCTTTGCTGTTTATGGGGTTCTTTTCAGCATGAGAGGATTGTTTTGGAGGCAGATCTGATTATGATTGTACAGACACTGACACTTGCTGTAAGGAGCTGAATGCCATTTTGAATACACAGTAATGAATGTTTCAATTTTACAAGTGTCCACAGTTTGTGGAAGGTGCTTCTAGTAGGACTTTGGGCTAAAGCTTGATGAACCAAAGCAAGGGAAGAGCTACTGAAACTTGTACTTCCAATAAACAGGAGGAACTGGTCCTCCTGCTAAACAAGAATGACTGTGATCTCATAGGGATAACGGAAACCTGGTGGGACTACACCTATGACTGGGCCACAGGTACAGACGGCTATACCTTGTACAGAAGAGATCGCGTGGACAAAAGGGGCCGGGGTGTAGCTTTCTCTGTCAAGGAAGGCTACCTGTCCCTGCAAGCCGACATTGACACCCAGGGTGGAAGACTGAAGTGTTTGGGTTAAAATCTGTGGTGAACAGGGGACACAGTGGTGGGAGTCTACTACAGACCTCCTAGCCAGGATCAAGAGGTTGATCAAGAATTCTCCAGGGAACTGGCTGAGGCTGCATGCTCCTGGTGCATGGTTGTTATAGGAGACTTCAACTACCCAGACATCTTGTGGGAAGAGCACTTGGCCAAATCCGAGTGGTTACAAAGCTTCCTCGTGTGTGGATGAGTTGTATCTGACTCAAGAACTTTATGGACCGATGAGAGGCAAAGTGCTGCTTGACCTGGTACTGGCAACAGGGGATGACTTAACGATTGAAGTGAAGCTGGGAGATGGTGACCATGAGCTGATCACCTTCGATGTCCGCCATAAAGCTGTCAAGTCAGTCAGCAATGCAGAAGTCCTCAACTTCAGGAAAGCTGACTTTGACAAGCTCAGGAGGTTTGTTGGTGAGGCCCTAAGAGACCACGACCCGAAGGGGAGGAGAGTTAGTGTTTGCTTCTCAAGGGAGCAATCCTGGAAGCACAGGCAATTTCTTTCCCATCTCGGAGGAAAGGCAGCAAAAGGGCACAGCAGCTGTCTTGGCTCTGCAGGGAACTAGTGGACCTCCTGCGTCTAAAAAGAAAGACCTATAAAGGATGGAAGGCTGGATCCACCCCAAAGGAGGACTATTCTGCACTGGTCCAGACCTGTAGGGAGTGAACCAGGGAATCCAAGGCTGCGACTGAATTCCAACTGGCTACATGCATCAAGGACAAAGTCCTTTTTTAGATATGTGGGGAGCTGGAGGAAAAGCAAGGGTAACATTGGACCCCTGCTAAACCATATGGGACAACTGACAACCGACACTCAGGAAAAAGCCAATCTGCTTAATGGGTATTTTGCGTCAGTTTTTCACCAGCCCCCAAGGGACGGCCCTGCTCAATATGGTACGGGACAGCCAGCGTGGGGGAGAACTGTTACCCTTCATCAATGTAGACCATGTGAAGGAACACTTTGAAAGGCTGGACACCTTCAAGTCAGCTGGCCTAGACAGTTAAGGAGCTGGCAAGCATCATAGCTCAGCCACTGGCACAGATCTTCAAGAACTTGTGGCGCTCTGGTGAAGTGCCCGAAGATTGGAAGAAGGCCAATGTGGTGCCTATCTTCAAGAAAGGGAGGAAAGTAGATCTGGGGAACTACAGGCCCATCAGCCTGACCTCTATCCCAGGGAAGATCTTGGAAAAAATTGTCAAACAGACCATTCTTGACAAACTGGCTGATGGCAACATCCTGAGGGATAGCCAGCATGGGCTTCTTGTGGGTAGGTCTTGCCTGACCAATCTCATCTCCTTCTACAACCAGGTGACATATCACCTGGACAAGG